CCCCAAAACCCCAAAACCCCAAAACCCCGCAAATTATGGGTAAACACATTGAAATAAGCAAACTTAAATTTAATCAAAAGCAATTCAATATAGATTGTATATAGTTAAAAGCATTAGGAAGAGATGACTCGTCTGAAAAAAGCTAAAACTAAGAATCGAATTACTCATCTCATTATTATATGGCCTCATGTACCTATATTAACTCCAATAAATTTTGGATACTAGCTGTATATTTCTTGTTGTCTGGGTTTAAAGGGCTCTATAATTTCCTCCATATGTAGCATCTCCAATCATTGAGAAAAGTTGTGTATTATAAAAAGTAGAAATCTGGATGGGGACATTGTAGATAAACCATTAGACATTTTCAGAGCAAGGTGGTTATGTTAAACTTCCATTGTAATAAAAGAAATTACCATAGAAATTATCAAATAACTTTGTGGCTAAAGATAGTCTTTTCCTTGGCTGTCCAATATTCGTAGGTCTTGGATCAAGCTCCTGCATGAATTCATTATCGAAGTCCATCCCAGAATTAAAAAAAACTGATATGGCTAGCATTTTTTTAGGATTAGTTGGACTTCTGTGCATCAATTACATTTCTAGCGTATGCTAAACATTTTCTAGATAATGCTCAGACTTATATTTAAAGAAAATATTCTCTAAGCCAAAAAATTATTCATTCCAGAATTCATCAACAAATGTAACATTTCCATCATTTACAGTTAGATTAATGAACATCTAATATTTGTCTGCAGTCCTGAAGAGATATTTATTGAAGAGATCTTGATAATTTAATGATAACTTAGCCTTCATATTATATGAGGATAGCCCAGCCACACTCAACTTGATTGGACTTTAGACAGTGCTTGTAAGGCACACATCTTAATTCCAATCTGTTCCATGATTATTATAGGTCCAACAATAAGCAAAACTTAGAGATTATAATGCCAAAATCAGACAATAAATGGCTTTCATTTTGTAATTCTATTATTAACTAATTTCCCGATTTAATTCGAACATATTATTCTATGATAGTAAAATGCAGAAACTTAATTATGAAATTAGGGTTAATATTATCATTGCTTATTTTAGATGATTAAATCTTTTTTTGTTATGAGAGGAGGCACTCTGCTTGCTGAAAATGCACCAAATGTATCTACTTGCTATTTCTACTTGTCTTCATGATATTGTAAGCCTAGCTCCAATTTCTTAGAGTAAACAAATTAATTTTTCTCATCTTCTTCCTCTTTTTTCTTTTGGAAATTGCCCTTAAGCTCCCACTTTTTGCTAAGCTTTTAATTCAGAGTAGGCTAGACGTAAGTAATAACATCTCCACCGTGGACAATTTATTTTTCATCAATTCCTAGCTCCCATAGCTTGAACTACTCTATTCCTATCTTACTTCTTTCTCTCAGATTCATCATAGACTCTTTATTGCTATCAGCTTAATTGTTATTTAAAAATTAGGAGGACTTATGCTTAATACTAAGCATAGGTGTTCTTATGGCATCATGTTATAAATTTTAGTTACCAAAACTTGAGATAACATTCGTATTAAGTGTAGGACGAGCTATCCTGCTCAAGGGACTATCAAATTCAGATTTATGAATAGAGTTCATTCTTATATGCTTTTATATTTTTAAAATGCTGGGTCAATGGAAGGAGTTTTTCAAGCTATCTCTTCTTTGCCCACCATCATAATTCTATATACTTGTAACATCTGAATGTACTGTTGGCAATCTCAATTCATTAGGTGTGTCATCTGGCTGAGATTAACTTCTCATTATATTAAGATTTATCATACTTATAGGCTTAATCAAAAGGCTTGATTTTTTGTTAGACCCCTTCTATTTATCAAGAATTATTTTCAATGGCTCATAGAGAGTTGTCATTGGATTGTCAAAATAACATTTAAGATCAAGAATTTCTTCATTACTTCCAACTTGCTTATCTTCTAGCACCTTAGATGGCTAGACACTACTTCTGGTTGAGGTTCTATTGCTAAATTAACCAATATAGGTAAATAGTTTCGGACGGGCCTTCATTTTAACTTCTAAACTGACTCTACTGGTTTTAAATCTATTAATCCCTATCTGTTTCATCATTTTGTCTAGTTTCTAAGTTTCAACTAAAACTTCCCCATATTATTACTCAAAGTTGCTGATAATCTTCTCTTGTGAGACAGGGGCTGTTATTTTCTTAATAAATCTCTTCTTCCTATTTTGCTCACGATCTATTCCCTATTGAGTGTTTTATATATAATTTTAAATATACAAAGGGCTAAAAATTAGGCTTGTACTTCACTCTCTAAAATTCCATTAATATTTTGTTGTTTATAATTTATCACACTTTATTTATTTCCAAATTTTAATCTAGCGGGGTTTTGGGGTTTTGGGGTTTTGGGG